AAATATGATTTGGATCAGCAACTCCTAATGGGATTAGGAGCTGATCCCTTTAAGGTTATAAAAGGAGGAGGCGGCAGCCTATTAGAAGATCACATCCTCAATTTCAGAGCAAGAGTTGCAGAAAAGAGAACATAGCATCCAGTGAGACTGCGCTATTTTCTCCTTGCCGCCTCCTTCCTGTCGCCGCCATAACTGCCAGTTCGATCTCCTCTTTCAAGCAGGAATGATCAAGATTGAATCTTGATATCAACCTTTGGAGAAAGGCTGATCTGAAGTTGTGCTCATAGCCTCCAGCGAATTCTTGTGAAGGGTTCGGTTCGTTGGACGAACACTGCTGATTTTGCTCCATCATTCACTGTGTCATCTTCAGTGAGAGCAGTCTTTGGAGTCTTTCTTTGGGCGTGAACACCTTCGTTGGGAGATATTGTTTCTCTGTATCAGGTATATCCCTCTCCTGCTTCTGGTTTCAAATCTGGTTCGGTTTATGGTTCAAGATTGATCCTTGAAAATGCAGATTTTCTAAAACAGGGAATGTGATTCCCATATGAGGGGAGAGGAAATTTTTGAAATTTCGCCCAACCTACCTGCAGGGTTCGGCCATCCATATGATGGATCTCTCATTCCTTCATGAGTTAGTGCACATAGGAAAGGATTTGTCGGAATGTTGCATGAAGTATATGAAGGAACACTTTGATAGAAGGAAGATTATGCATTTCCTAATGCATCTCAGGCCTGAGTTTGAAGTTGTCAAATCTAATATCCTGAGCCGAGGAACACTTCTTGACTTAGATACTATTCTTGTGGAAATTCTGAGAGCTGAAACCAGATTTGCTACATAGACTACTCTAGATGAGAGAAAAGATTTTAACATTGATATTGTCTTCCTGGCAACAAAACCAAAGGGGAAGGACTTCTCTAAAGTACAATGCTATGAGTGTAAAGAGTTTGGGCATGTTGTCTCCCATTGCAAGAAAAAGAATACATGAACTTATTGCAAGAAGTTCGGCCATATCATTATTGAATGTCCTACTTGGTCTCAGAAAAGCGGTGGATCAAATTAGAATAAGGGAAGCTACAAGGCCTATCAAACTATTGTAGATGGAT